AACCAAAATCGTTGCTTGATTCTAGTACTTACGCCAATGCAGGTCAAAGCAGACAGGATATGAATGCGGAAGCATTCAGCTTAAAACTCGTATAGGAACGCTTAAGGAAAGGACGTAATCCCCGACAGCACACGATCGACTTCATCCAAAATATTTAAGTTATTTGATTATTTTCGGCAATAGGAACCACTTGCATACCTGAAATTCCCAAATTAAAATAATTTAAAATAATTCTGACAGATACTGGTATGTGAGTGGGGCAGTAGACAGATAATTTTCAGATCCATATTCTTTGTTTACTTACCGTAATAAAAATTCCTCGGCGCGAAAGGGGAAAGCCCGCTTTGATTAAGTTCCTGCTCATTGACCGCGGTGCGCTTTCGTTCCTGTATCCGGAGATTGGCGCTTTAACTATTAAGGATGGGCGAACGTAAAAAGGTTTACTAAAATTTTAATAATTTTTTTAAGGCTGGTCTAAATGTGCCGGGAAACAATGGGAAATTTTTCCCAGAAGATAGCGATGGCAATATCATAGAAGGAACATACGACACGCCTGTTGGAGGTGATATCAGAGTTACTGAGCGTTAACAGTAATTAGAGGTTCGCGTTAAGAAAATACAGAAGGCGAAACACTACGATGTTATCTCCATGGCAAGAGCAATGAATGACAATTTTGCGCAGCGGACTAAGGAATTGTTTGAACCAGAAATCGAAGCGGTCAAAGAAGCAGTAGAAAGCGGTCGGTATTTTTTGATTTGTTTATGTAATTCATACCCAAGTTTGGCACTTTTCTGTTCATCAGCTGCTTTTAAATGTCGTTTAATGTTCTTTTAAGCGAACTCCTTATTCATAAAGTAACCTTGCGTGATTTATTTATTGAGTATTTAACCAAGTATTTTTGAAATCCGTAGGCAAGAAACCTAAAATTACTGTTCAGCCATTATGATTCCGCTTGCTTTCATAATGTATGAACTAATGCTAAATACTAATATCTATATTATGGCAACTTTGTTACTTATGTACCATAACCTTCATTAAACTCACTTTGTATTATTGCGACTCCCGAATAAGTGTTCGCCTATTAGAAAAAAATTAGTGAACAACAGCATTATAATTTACATTCTCACTATACTGAGCGTTATTTCTTCTGCGATCTGTTTAACGCACACTGCGCTTGACGACTGTATGTTAATTTGCCCCTAATAATTAATTACTGTTTTAATCACAGATATTGTGCATTTCGCAAACTTTTAAATAAAAGCTGTTTATGAGTTTATTAATGTTGTGAGGGAAATTACTAGTGATACTGTCAGATACTCTCCTTAAACCATGCGGAGTTTAGTTATGTAATATAATTCAAACCCATTCCAAAGTATTGATTTAACTTTCATGTGAAACACTGACAGTTCTTCCTGCCTTGTGGTTTTAGCATACAGCCTTCGCAGATGCCTATTTAGTCACCGCATGCCTCCTTCAAAGTAATTAATCAGAAGTAGCAACATGGCTGATGGTAGTATTTATTAATTCATCTTAAGTACGGCGCAGTAATTCACAATCTAATTTTGCTTTGGGGTCTTCGATACAGTGTTTTCACAGGTGGTTCAACAGATACATAATCTGTTCTCACATGTATTCCTATTATCACTTAACGTAACGTCAGCGTGGATTTATTGGAACATCATGCGACTCGAGTTTTTCATAAAAATATTAATCCGGATTTGAAAACCGAGATTTCGACATGCGATTAATTTTTTCCCCGACTGATGGCGTTAGATATGCCATTATTGTCTATTTCAAACGTTCGGATATATGTTTGTAGTTTTTTGTCTTTTACTAGAATCGTAAAAGAACAGCGTTCGTCTTCCATATTTTGCTCTACTTTTCAGCACATGCTCTACAAATCTTTCTCCTTTTTTTACTATGCCCCAACTTGGTACTGGCACCATAAAACTAAAACATGACCTTCTGGCAAAATGCCGGTCCAGTAAAGTGTTATTACATCCAAACTATTTTGCCTCCACTTATCTTTCGCCTTTTCCCATTTTCTCCTTTAAGTATGTTAGATTTGAAAAGGGCTTTTCTTAAATTCGCATTGACCTGACCTCAGTGAGCGTAATCTGTGCTTATTTTACATTATATAGGCTCTTCTCTTTCATTATCTATAGCATTTTTCTCAATCTTGTATATGTTATAAATTTTGGCTCCTGAAATGGGCTCTTCCATTATATTTATTAATCTGAACTTCAATTTTGAATCGCCCGTAGGTTCATTAAGGGGGTAGTTCAAATTTGTGCTCAAAAGTTGCTCTCTGAGGCCAAAGCTTGCCTATCCGTTACCTACTTTGGAGCGCAAAATTCTCCAAATATTTTTTTCCATCATCTGTTTTTTAACCGTTTTACTGAGAATAATGTGACCAATAAATGTTCAGTCTTCTAGTAATGAAGTCAGTATTGAAACAGGTACCGAAGTTTCTGTCCTGATTTGTCAATGGTTATTTAAAAGGCTGCATTTTAAAATAATTCTAACAGAGATTATGATGGTTTTCATTTCCTGGTGGGTGACATGTAACATAATTTCGCTTGTCAGTATGTGTTCGCCAATCCTTTCATGCTGTCAACATAACACCAGTCATTAGTTGAATTCTCAGAACGGTTTTGGTTCACTGGAAATGTTAAGTCTAATAATAAGTGTTTTAACTGCCACCGAGATTGCTAACACATTAGCCTGTTTCATTATTTCTACTCCTTTTTGACCACGTGTGTTTAACAGTCTATTCAAACTTAGTCTCTGTTTGTTCAAAAAATGATGCTTCTAAAAAATCTAATGACGGACTGGGGACGACATTTAAACGCAGGCCAACGTACAATGATTTTATGTCATTTGTTTGTCCTCCTATTGCATAGACTACTTAAGGAACGCTAGTGTGTTACATGAGTTCTTGGATTTAATTACTTACTTAAACTGGCATCTTGGTAGCTTCACGACTGAATATTTTAATGTCGTTTTGCTTGTTTGGTTTTGAAGAGAAAAGAAAAACGTTTGAGTTATCCTTTTACATTTTGGCAACTTTGTTTTTTGTAAATATTATCCTTGCGCAGCTCCCTATTGCCATTCACACGCAACTCCTTACAGCACAACATAGATGAGTCAGAAGTGTGCAATTATTATTAGTACAGTAGTCGCCGGTTATTAAGCCCACGGTTAATAGGCCCAGCC